TTTTAATTAAAATATTAAAATTATTTATCAATGACAGAATATCTTTATGATATATACTTAGAGTTATACATTATATCACCAATCCTCTATCAAGTATACATAAATTCATTGTTATCCTTGGAAAAGAGATCCAGGAAACTACAGACCAATCTGCCTAAGATTAATACCTGAAAAGATACTGGAAAAGATAATCAGGAACAAATCTGTAAACATATAGAAACAAATAAAGTCAGCATGGATTTGTTAAAAACAGATCATGCCAAACCAATCTTATTTCATTCTTTGACAAAATGACTAAATTAGTAGAGCAGTGAAATGCTGTGGACATAGTATTCTTACCAAGGCATTCAGCAAGGCATTCAACAAAGTAGAGCACATTATTGGTAAACTAGCAAAACATGGGACAGACAGCATCACCACCAGATAAATTTTTAACTGATTGACAAACCATGCACAACAAATCATCCTTAATAGTATTACATACATACATACTATATTAATAATAATATATTTGTATATATTGTGAGTTTGTATATTATTGTGGTTGAAGCTGAAGTATTCATTGACAGGTAGGACATTGTAGCAGATAATTTTATGTACTATGCTTAGGTTGGATTGAAGACAGTGAATTTAATGACATAAAATTTAATGTGGAGCAAAACAAGGTTTTACACTTAGGCAGGAAAAAATAAAGGTACAAGTACAGATTAGGCAAAACCTTGCTCAAAAACAGTAAATGTGAGAGGGACCTTGGACTTCTAGTGAACAATCATTTAAATATGAGCAAGCAGTGTGTGGTAGAAGCTTAAAAAGGTAATAGAATCCTTGATTGTATAAATAGATGCATAGTATCAAAATCACATGAAGCATTGGTCACTAATGCTGATGTTGAGACTTTGGAAAGATGTTGAGACTTTGGAAAAAGTGCAAAGAATAGTAACTCAGGTGATTAAACACCCAGAGACTTTTTCAGGATTTGGGTTTGGCTAGTCTAGAGAAAAGAAGTAGTAGGATTAACATGATAATAGTATTCCAGTATTTGAGAAATTGCCATAAATAGGAGGGGGTCAATTTATTTACCAAAGGATCTGTAGACAGAACAAGAAACATTGGATGGAAACTAGTCAAGGAGAGTAGCAACCTGGAACTAAGGAGAAACTTAATAATGAGGACAATTAACCGGTGGAACAGCTTGCCTTCAGAAATTGTAGGTACTTCATTACTGGAGGCTTTTAAAAAGTGACTGGAGAGTCACTTGTCTGAAATGGCATAACATTGTTCTTCACTTTCCTTGCTTTTGATCTGATTTAATTAAGCATTCTATGACACTAAACATTCTTATTCTTCTGCTTTTAGCAGTTAAATCAATGACACTCTTTAAGAGAATGTGCAATTTTTAAAAGTTATTGTTCAATTTTAGGGTACAATGATATAGCATTGCTGTATTAAAAAAAAACAAAGACTCCTGTGTAGAGTTTTAATAATACTGTTTCATGAATTAGTTATTATTACAATGTTTTTAGTCACTGACAATAAATAAATTTCACTTATTTCGATGTTGCTTTGGACATTTCCAAATTTTCCCATTAGCATTTCTTCATTCATTTGTTTGCTTAAATATTTTTAATTAATCCCCTAGTGTTAGTATTTCTCATAGGGACTGTTTGAACCTGTATGGAGATCAATACTCACTGCTTCTGAAAATTTTGTCTACTTGAGATGTTTCTTTTATATCTTTAAATACAGGCTTTGAATCTGAGACTGAAAGAAGTGTAGGTCAAATTGTAAATTATGTTTTTCTTCAAATGTAATGTGTTATATATTATAGATTCAAGGTGGGAAAAGGGAAAGGGAAATCACAGTTATGATTTCATGGAAAAAGTCTGCATTCTGCACATTTGAATATAAGAATTAAAACATGTTGAATTGACTATACTTGGAAAAACATTTCTAATCAGCCAGACATTTTTAACAGATTTACCATTTCATTTTATTAAACACACATGGAGCTGGATCTCAGGTATTATAAATTCTGGTGTTTTTTTTTTTTTTT